TCTAGATCTTCAGTGTGCAAGGCTTTAGAAGCAGCCTAAAAACTCTGTCACATATATTCTGTGTGCCTACTCATCTCTGCCACTTGGAATCACACAACTGTAATGAAAGACAAAGTGTTGGAGAGAATAATTCCCTTGGTTACACAGCTCTGACAGTGAACTTGACCTTATTACATGGGGTCCAATTAAGATCCCTTTGGCATCTAGAATTTAAATGACCACTACTGATCACAGCTACAGCACTGAAGATGATAAACCTTCTCTCCAATACTAATGAAATATATAGTTTATCTTTGGCAAAGACAGTGAAATAACCAAAATTAATCTACCATAAAGCTGAAAAGTTCCTACCAGTTACAGACTTTCCTGTATATAAACTCTTCAAACTGTGCACGAATACTCTGGCACATATAATTAAGTGAACAGAAATTAATTCTGTTTTTACCTGTGCAGCCACTTGACAATGATGACTCCTGATAGAGACAAATTGTTACTACCATAAGAGTAAAGTAATGAAAACCTGAACCACTGCTCATATACTTTCTGAATCCACTGCAAAACTAAAAAGAGATATAAAGTGTAATTGTGTGATGGGTTAGATTCTGAGGAGACATTTCAGTAATTAAGAATTACAGTTGATACTATGAAACAGAGGTAACTATTAAAATCCACTTGTGTGAAAAGTAAGCTGAAGAATGGTTAAAATATAAACAAGACATTAAATTATTCCTCATAAACAATATGAAGCAAAATATGATAAATCATGACATACTTGAAATGTCCAAAGGAAGGAAAGCAAATGAGATTAATTAAGGCTTGGGCACCATAGATGAGAGTTATAAGCATATGAAGGGATAGCATGGCCTGAAATAAATCACATACAGAGCTAAAAGTCAGTACTACAACAGCAAAATAACTCCCTTGATATAAAGTGAAGAGGATGAAAATCAGCCAACTAGCTCAGGGGTAAATAACTTTTCACACCTTCCTATTAAAAGGGAAATAGGGATCACTTGACAAAAAAAGGCTGCTGATAAAAACAACTAGTGGACTTTGGGTAGGTCTCAGATTAACCAGTCTGAATGTTAGCAGACAGATCTGATAGAAGAGTTTTGATGGTCTAGAAGTAAAAATTATTTCTGTGGGGGGGGAAAAAGGACTATGACTGAAAAAGAAAATTTGAACAATTGATCACAAAAAAGGAGAGAATGGTCTTGTCCCTTGAGTCTGCAAGCTCTGAAGAATTAGAAATGTGAAAAATAAACAACAAGCAGCTTTCTGACAAAACTAAATTATAAACACTTTCTGATGCTGAAAAAAAGGAAACAAACTAAAGCATATGTAACATATTTTCTGTTTAAAAATTCAAACCTGTTTTCCAACACTGTTGAAACTGTTTAGTTCTTTCTCCTCTGAGAAGAGTGTTCTGTACACTGTATGTCAGGAAGTAGTTTTTGAAATTGTAGGTGGTGATATAAAGCAAGACAGAGTGAGCTTCTGAAAAGAAGTGATAATTGGCCACTGTACTGAGGTAAACTCCTACCCAGTGCTGTGTGTTAACCACCAGAACTTATCATCTCTACAAACAAAGTTTTAAAGTTTTAACAAAAGACACATTTAGTTGTTTTGCTTTGCTGTCAATGGAGTCAAAGCAGGAAAAACTCCTACCAAGAAGTGATAGCTGCAACATGCAAAAGAAAATACATTTCTGGAAAACAAAACAAGAAGGGGGGGAAAATTACAACAAAGATGAGAAGGAAAGGCAAGAAGTAGAAAAAGAGCTGCCTGTGAACTCCTGCCAATAACTTTAAGCTTCAATTAGTTGATCAGAGCATTGCCTGAGCTACTCCAGCCAATAAACATAATCAGCAGCACAGGTGTTTAGGTGTCCTCTATTGGTTCCCTATCCAAGACAGTTTGCCAGGATTGTTTATGCAGCAGCATTCCAGTGACAACTTCAGGAGACACAGGTACCAATGCTTCACACCACAAGGACTCCTTGGATTACATCAAGAGTAACCACTGTGTGGATGATTTGGGTTATCAGTCCATTTAGTGAGAGATAATAATAAACATCTCTTTACAGCTACATTGCTTTCTTATGCAAGTCACAAACAGACAACTGTAAAACACAGAGAAAAGCTAAATGTTTGTATAGATAATGAAGCATAAATCCAACTCTGCCCCATCCCCTTCATGTCACTAAGCAGCTCATAGAGGGAACCTAATCTAGTGTGCTAAGGTGATGATCAAAACCAAGCTGAAAGTGCCAGGGAAAACCCAAAGCTGCACATGATTGTTCAAAACTTCATAGAAGAATGTTTAATTAACCTCTTTTAAGAACAAGTCAAAGATTTTGGCAGATGATCAAGTATGATACACTTACAAAGGATGGAAAAAAGTCGTGCAACTGATAGAGATAAGAAGAAAGCAACACCCCCTTTTTAAAAGATTTAACTGCTCGTACCATCAGCAAGAAAAAGCCATCAAAATTTGGCCGCTCTTTCAGACACATTCCTCTTCCTTTCATCTTGAAGCTCTCCTCAGGCTCCCATGGAGAAGCAGCTTTCTATTGGACAGGAACAAAAACAAATAAACTATGAAGCTAATACAAAATTCAGCTCCTTTTAAAATCTCAAAATAAGACCTATTCCCCTCCTCCACCCACTGAACCTCGCCAGACAAGAGCTAAGTAGTATTGGGTAATACCAAGCTTGGAGAATGAGCTTTTCAGGTGGGAACATCTTTGCTCTTACTTCCCAGAACCATGTTACAAGCTTCCTTTAGGAAAATGAGAGGATGATAGTTTAAGAAAATAAAAATTCAGCTTCTTGCAGCCAAACTGAAGGACACTCAAAAGTCAGTTTGGAGACTTTGCACCTGAGTCACAAGCAAACTGGGACTTTGCTTTACGCTTCATAGCACAAGATGGAAATTATCTGTGCTGTAGAGGTTGAATTAGTCTCCCTGTTATTTTATACAGCTGTGCTTTATAAATGAAAACTTGGACTCAGAACTCACAAAATCTGAGTGATTCTACTACAAGCCATTCTTTATACTAAAAGAAATTACCTAACTCTCCACACTCTCCTTAAAACATCCACACTCTCCTTAAAACAAGCAAAAAAAAGTCAGACAATATTACTCAGCACCATTTGCTATCTGTCACTACTCTCTGCAGATTTCTCCAATCGTGCATCCACTTTCACAAGAGGATAACATGTTATTCTCTTATTCTCTGTCCCTTAGTTTTTCCAAAACGACAATAGCAAAAAACATTGTCCAAATCATCAGAGATGTGGCAGTGCAGCTCTGAGGAAAAATCCATGACAGCAAGCAAGATTTAGACATACTTTTTGGCTGGGAAAAAAGTGCCAAAGCATCCCTTACAGAAAGAAAAAAAGCCAGATTCTCAGATGCTGCTGTGCCTCCATTTGACAGTGGACCATAGAGGAGGGTGCTCCATCATCACTGATATTTATTTCCAGTCGTGGGAGTGAAAGGATAACTGACACCTGGTGGGAAATGAAGCACAGAATGTCTCATTGCCCACCTGTGCTCATACTTACATCATGCTGAAAATGCTGAAGGACATGACAGCCTTGTCCACATTTGTCTTATAATCCCCAAAACCCTGCAGTCAGCAAGGACAAGCTTGCTGAGAAATTTATTTAGTCAAGTCAAATGCCTTTCCAAGCACGCATGTTGCCATATGGTTTTCCATGTGATACATCTACAGCTCAAATTTTCATCTGATGCACTTGAAGACACAGAGGAATAAACACACGCATTTTCTCACTGATGGATTCTGTCATTATTACTATTAGTAACATTATTGTCCCCAACATGTAATTGTTATCCTCCTACATACACCTTTGCAAATGAATTTCCAAACCGACAACAAAAAAGTCTGACTCGGAGCTCAGGCTCCCCATGAAACATTTCCTGTGAGGGAAAGTCACAGAAGCACCACCGGTCTGACTGGTCTGCATATGGCACAGCAAGATTCTGGACTTGATCACTCACTGCTGAGGATCTTTTCCGGCACCTCAGGGCTCTGCAGTCTGTGCAGAGCATTAGCAAATCACAGCACTCTTTGTTTAAACCAGAGTAACACCTTAGACCTCATTTCCTGTTCCTTTACATTCATCTAAATGACAATAAAATGTGTATCACCCGAAGATCAGTTTCTAGAGTGAGTTAAAATAGAGGAAGGAAGAACACTGAAAACCATTAGGAAGGAATGAAGACATTGAGGTCTTTTTTGGCTTCCAAGAAGCAAAGAGGATATTGGGAAGCAATGAAAACACACCTGAGGTAGAAAAAGCAATGCTGGGGGCGCTTAATGGTGAAGAGGAAGAATTGGATATGTACTTTATATTGAAGGAGTATTTAAAGCTGTATTTGCTCTGTAAAGAACATGAAAACCACGTAAGAGATTCACACCTAATTTAAACAGATATCATCACCACAGATGCTGAAATAAACTGCAGAATACGTAAAGCTGGTATTAATGGAGAAAACGTGAATCTCATCACTAAGACTCACAGCAGGTGATTTCATGAAGGCTGAAGCAAGAGTACCTCACGTTGTCTAATGTCAGCTGCAGCCCCCAAAAATTCTTCTCCTACAGTCGTGGTTTGCTGTGGGAGGATGTGGGGGCTGTAATTGTCCCACTGAGGGTTTTTGATAGATGATTGTATTTCAGATATCTGGACCTGTGATTTTGTAAGCCTTACTTTGACTTATCATTACACTAAAAATAAAACAAAGCACTCAGCACTCTGTGAAAAAAGATTGTGAAAATGCCTGGTCCTAAAATGATGCACTGCACTGCAACAAAACAAAAAAAGATCACTTTTAATTTCTTCATGTAATTTTAAATAAAATTAAAGACACTAATTAAGTACAGTGAATTTTACAGACATTTTGGATTCAGGGTCACTTACTGTGAAAATTAAGTGGAAAAGTCAGTAGATTCTCTATGACAGGAGGAGCCCAGGAAGTTTCTTTCCATCTTTCTTTGGTGGATTTCCCTAAAGTAATTGAAAAAAGGACTGTCCCAAGATAGTCACACCAGCCCTTTGCCAGAGGTTACAAACAAAGCAGCAAAGCCAGACACACACCTGTGTCCCAGCCACACTGTGCAAAGCCTGCTACACAAACTGAAATGGGTTTGTTTTCACTTAAAGCTTTCAGTAGGTTGGTCCATACACGGCCAAGAGCAGAGCTCAGTTACAAAATTTTAAACAAGTACATCTACTAGAGTTCTTCTCTCTGAGCCCCTGGTCTAACCTGAGCACCCAGGTGACGAGCTGCAGGTCCACAACAGCCTTTCAACCTTTAATTTTAGTCTTAGTGTCATAATCTGTGTCATCTTTTATTCTTAAAATGTATTTAACCACCATAAATGGAAAAAAAAAACAAAAACAAAACAACAAACCAACTACCCAAATCACAGGACCTGAAACTATTTTGCTGACATTTTGCTAACTCTGTTAACTCCACAGATATCAATAAATTGTATTCCTTATTTTCAAGTCAATCAGTCCCCAGCTATTTAAAGTTGACATGATGTGCACAATTGAGCACTTTGTGAGATAAACACATCAATAAATTACCTGAAAATGGTATTTAAGGGTAGAAGTCTTACTTGCAGAGCTGCCCTATTGCAAGTCTCCTCCTTCAGTAACATTAGGGAGCACTCTGACTACTTACTGTTTACACAAAACTTTCTACATTAAATGCTGAACTCGCAAATCCACCTACTTACCATATGGAATTGGTAGCACACAAATGTCGAGCCACTTAAGGTGCTGCTGTTTTTTTCAGCAAGTGACATTTTCGTGGATCCCCACAACAGCACAAAGATCACCTCTCCAGAATTCAGAGGTTATCATTTACCAGATGATAAACAGAATGGGACTGCTCTGCACTCGTTGGGAACAGGATGTGTGACACCCTGGTGCCCACCCAGTGACAAAGGAAAATATGCTGGTTTGTAAGAGTATTTAAAATGCACACAACTGGATTTTAAAGTTTCAAAAAGCTTATGTTATACACTGTATATAAAGGTGAATATTCTTAAAATCTAGGCCTCCATTTTAAAGGCACTGTTTTGGCTGTTTCTCTTTACAGATAATCCCATTACAAAACTGAAACCAACCAGCTCTGGGTACAAATTCATACCAGTCAGTACAGTGACCCACATGTACATTGAGTTACTGTTTTGGTTCATTTTGTTCCTACTGTTTTGTTGAGCATCAAGTAACTATTTGATGATGTTACATATGTCATACATATGTGCTCCGTATTAAATTTGTACCCAAGAAAAAGAAGCCAATAAATTTTTTTTAGATTAAACTTTGGAAGAGGAAATGAAGTTGCATTCTTGGCCTTCTTCAATAGAAGACTTGTCCTTTGTTGAAATATTCATAAGGCAAGTCAGTTAGCTCAAGATAATGCCATATGTTCAAAGTGAAAAAACACTTCTTCCCTAAGGAGGCATGTTGGGACTACTGGGGCTGGAGAAGGAAGAAATGTTTGACTCCCTGCCAGTCTCTGAACTCCCAGAACAGTGGTGGTTGTGGTTCTGAGAACTGAGCTCAACACCAGAGCAGCTATTTATTTTTGTTAACTTGTTCACAGTTTCCCAACTTTTCAACTCACCTCAAGTTATATATATAAGCTTTTATATATATAAAATTTTAGCCTTCCAATCTTTCACAGTCTGGGTACACCTTTTCCCCCAGTAGGAGTAGCATATGAGTGATATTCAGAGTTTCAATATTCATTTTGTAGCATTAGCTTGAGTATCAGAACCCACAAGCCCTTATGTTTAATGAATGAGGTTTTTTATTTACAATTCATTAAGTCTTTAAAACATTCACCTTTATATCTGCCATGAAGTTAGGGACCCCAGATGGAAGCCTTTAAACATCTTTAATCTTCCAGTCCAATACTGTGATCCATAAAACTCCTTTTCATCCAAAATTCCTGTTGCCTTCCATTGATATTCTCACATGTGAGTTCCAGTCACTGCAAATACTTGAGGGCCGAGGAATTGACTGTACAGCTCGAAGTCAGTTAAGAGTGTGATTTCTTTTATCCTGAGGATAGAATATAAATCATAAGTAGGTGGTCTCATATTGTAAAAAGCTGCAAACACTGGTGGTAGATTTGGGTGGCCAACATGGACTATCAATATGGCACTTGAGAGCTTAGTTTGTGAGCAAAGAACAGAATACACCAAATTAGCTCTGGGCACACAGGAGGCTACATTAGTCTGAAATTTCTCCAGTGGCAGACTGAAACTGCTCCATTCACAGAGCACACAGTTGAAATCAACAGCTAATCCTTTCTAGTATTCTATACCAGAATATAGTATATTTTCATAACTGAAATAATACACTCTGATTTATAAGGTACCATTAATGGTATCATTTGTGGAACTCTCTCAAAGTTTTCCTAGGATCATACACACACCCATCAAGCCTCGGATCTTAACCTTAATCCTGCTTAGGAATAAACAGATCATATCTTTTCAGTCTTCTTTGGCAGCCTGGGCACAGGCCCCTGAACTGAACAGCATAAGGCTCCCTCTGATCCACATGGAGCAAATCTAAATGCTCAGCACAGCTGACTGTATCATTCTGTTCTACAGTTACTCATCCTACCCCATAAAGCTTCTGCTTCCAGCTAAAAGCACATTTCTTATTCATTTTTCCAAGACAGCTCCTGGGGAAAAAAACAACCCTTTCTTGCTGTTGAGATTTTTAAATAAAATCCACCGAGCAACAAATCCAAGATGGGAGACACACATTTGACAGTGCTGAGATATAAATGAAATTTATACTTTCTCATTCAGGGTAGGGTAGAAAAACCCCTTAAGTGCTATGAAACAGCTTGTCTGAGCACTTTGTATTTTTAAATGTCTTTCTGACATCCCTTATTTGATGGCATCCCATAAAAACCAATAGCACATTAAATTAGCGTATCAGAAACCAAAAGATGGCAAGAACTGTGGATTGGAATCTATTCCCAGTAAAAATCATTGGTGTTTAGATACTCAGTGTCAGGCAGTGTCACCAGGATTAAAAACCCTGTTACATACCCATGAACTGTTCTGAGCTGTGAAGGTAAGGAGATGAACTACAGAACCACATCTCTGCTTGCCTGGCCCTAAGGATGCTGCTGGCACCTGGGTGTGACCCAAGCTCTGAGCCACGAGAAATCCCTTCAGAACCCTGACTGCCTTCTCTTCAGCTCCTTTTGGAGTTGTTCTGGTGTTCATGAAAAGGCATTGAAATCTTACATTTACTGTGTAAAGTTTTAGAAGACTCTGAGAACAGCCTTGCCTTTCTCCCCCTCTCCACTGTCTGATGATCTCTACAGAAACAGCCACATCTCTGCTCTGAGATGCTGCTTCAAGTTCTGCCTCAGCCCCACAGAAAATATTCCTTCTTTTTCCTCCCCTGTGTTATGAGGAGAACACCAAAGGGCTTTGTGATAAACAAGTGTGGGTGGGAGCCTGGGGCTCTCCTTTTCACTCCCAAGATACAGCCCAAATACACAGCCAGCTCCCATGCAAAATTAAAAACATATTATTAAAGTATTTTTGCAGGCTGCATCTGTTTTCAACACCCACAAACTTGCTCCTGCCTTGATACTGCTGCCTAGTGATGTGTTTGAGCTTTAGATAGAAAATACTTTAGGGAAAAGGGCCAGCAAGGTAAATGACAGCTTTAATTATTCAGGTTGAATATGGACAGAGTTAAGGAACTTTCTCTGTGTAATTGTAAGATCTCTTTGCATGTACATTCATATCCAGTTTTAATAAATAAACAAGCTCAGCCTGTGGTACTAGATAAGTTCATTACTGCAGAAGAGAACTGTCATGGGAGCTTTAGTGACTCTTCCAAGATCCTGCAGCACCTTCTGCAAAAATTATTGGTTTGCTAGTTCTTACTGATGCTGTTTGATGTCTTTGGGAGGGTTGGATGGTTTATATCCCAGGGTAACTCTGACATTAAACAGGTCTGAACTTCTAAATCTGACCCTGATCCAACTAAAACCTTGAAATGATAAATTTCTGTTTCTGTAGCTCTGCTTCTTAGACATATTCCGAGTCTAAACATACCAGTCAAATTTTCCAATTGCCCAGGCAGTGGTGCAATTATTAGAAAGTTAATTCCAGAACCACTGTGCTGAAATTGTTTTTAAGAGTTATTGACCTATGAAAATGTACATTGTCAGCTTGGATTCCTTACGGGTGTTGAATATGTAGTATGTGTTTTCTAAACTGTGTTGACTGAGTTTTATAGTCAGCTTGGAACTGGAAAAATGCCAAGAGGTGCTAAAGTGTAAAGTTTTCTACAACTTCTGCTATTTACATAATTACTTTGAACTTTCCCTTGTTCTGGTTCTTTCATTATTTACATAATAATTAAAACTGTTGCATTCTCAAGTGCACTCATTTAAAAACCATGGGAAATAAAAAAGAACATAAAAGCCTTCAATCCAACAGCCTCTCTCACTAACAGCTTCTATTACTGTTGAAATGAAAAAGTTACAGCAATCTGGACAGTTGTAGTTAAACATCTTCTTTGATGTCAAGCAAAGTGAGAGAGTTTGAACAAGAGACAAAATGCAGCAAGGGGAAAACAGGATAAAAGCTGATATCATTCTAACAAAACATCCAAGTTTACATATGCTTCCCACACAAACTCAGGAATGGAAAAAAAGCAATGGATTTTTCCCCACATCCTAGATACTTGAGGTTGGCCCTGCTTCAGCTGGGAGGTTGGACCTGATCTCTCTACCAACCCAGTTATTCCTATTCTAGTCCCCTTCTCAAATCACTTCAAAATGGCTGGAAACTGCAGGATAAGAAAGGATTCATATGAGCAAAGCACCTTTCCTACAGTAAGAAGTTTATTTGCTTCCTGACACTACAATTTCCTTTGCTCACACCCAGATTCTACTGTAGGAATGGGGTGACAGCAGAAGCCACACTCCCACATGGTGGCACAGCAATTTTGCAGTGGGCAGTCAACTGGGATCCTGCTTCCAGGGGTCAGAAAAAGGGGAATATCAGCCTACAAACCAGCCACAAGCTGAAAGTGCTTGTACCATGAGATAAACTGCTGCTCAAATTCCTAGGCCAAGTGTCAGAATGAAGATACACTTGCTGAGAAATTGCCTCCTCTGTTGAGCATCATGCTGTCCAAGAGATGGCTGTGAGCAAACAGTGAGCAAGGGATTGCCAAGGGTTATGTGATTAAGTGGATTTATCCATTTTGTCCTTTAAGGATGCTTTCCCACAATGTAGAAGAATCTTAGCCATGTCAACCCCCTTTTATAGAGTGTTTCCTTAAACTCTTAGGTCCTGGTGTTCACAAGGAACACCAAGACAAATTCAGAAGGACAATTACAGTTAAAGATAGAGCAAAGCCAGCAGGTAAGAGCAGCAGTTTCATTGTTACCTGGCTTAATAAAAGAAAAGTCACCTGACAAAATATATTTCTTATCTTTTTTCCTCCTCACAGCAAGAACAAGAGAGTTCCATTTATTCTGTTACTCTGGATTTGGATAAGGATAAGTAACTCTATTAACATCAGTTGAGTTATTCTGGCTTGAACCCAGGGTAAGCAAAAGCAAAATTTAGTCTCTTGTTTGTGCTTTATAAGGCTCCTGACCCTTAAAAGTATCAAACTGTTTGGAAACAATCCCATAGCCTTCAAGTTAGGAAGGCAAAAAATCTGACTTACATTAAAAAAATACAAGTATGATAAGTAAAGTTGGTATTGCTTTACATTTTACTGACCAAAAAGATGCTGAAACATTTGTTTAAAAAAAAAATAATAACACAACCAAAAAACAACTGTATATGGCCTAGCAAGAAAACATTCTTGCTGTGTGCATTCTACTACTGAATCTGTTGCTTCTCTCCATTACTTTTGGGCAAACTGCCTTTTTTTCTTAAATGGAACCCACAGTTCTTGCCTAAGTGCTTCATGCAAGGATTAAGAGTTTTGATAGCTATTATAAATGGTCAGATTTTATGACAGATAAGAAAACATCTCTTTCTGAGGTTTCTTAAAGCATGGCTCTGGCAAGAATAACAATACAGACATCCTGGTAAGCTCAGCACAGGCTACATTACCTATTTTGTAGTCTGAAAGTAGCACAAAGTTTGTTGGTTTTCAAGTAAGGACTCAAAGGGGGACAAGCAGAACTCCCTTTGTAAAAGTTTCCCCCCATGCTGCCAATCGTTGCCTCAAATTCCTTTTACAGCTTACTGTCTTGAGCAGATTTCTTTATAAAACAAATAGGAAGAGACAGCAATGGCACCAGTGCTGGATGAAGCATAAATGATCCACGAAGCCTCCTGTTTCTCCCTGGGGATCGAGCTCATTGACAAAGATTGAATTTGCATTTACAGTCATATTCCATTTGTGAGGCTTGAGAACATCAGAGATCAGTCATGCAGTGTAATACCAGAAGAAGAAAGAAAATACTATTTTCTTCCTCTTTCTCCAAAGGAAATAGGAGTAATATAGTAGCTATCATGGTTCTCAATGCAACCACTCATTTAACTGCTTATTTGAGCCTATTTGGATCCAAACTTCCCAAGTTTGAAAGTGTACAGAAACTGTCTCTGGATTTCAGACATCACCTCAGAAGTGAAACTCCTGCTAGAACTGAAACTGCAGAGATCAATGACCTCAACTAAAGGAACACTACCAGTTTCCTTCATCTTCTCAACTGTTTTGTGCCCTTCCTTGTAGAAATATATTTTATGGCTATTTTGGCTGAAAAAAAATGCTGTAGAAACAGCAAAACACCACTATCAGCAGAATCCAGTCTTTACAAAATAAATTAAAAATTCATCTTCCAAAAAAGTGCAAGAAATACCTAGAATGAGATAAACACCACACCTGAACATCCCAGAGACACCAGAGAAAACACAGGTTCCTAATTTCATGTAACTCAACATTGTAAAGTCTCCTTTCAAGCAGATATTGATAGAGCATCCTGGCTACCTGCTGCTCCACCTGTCAGAGGTGTGCAGAGCAGGCCTGGTTACAGCAGAGCAGAGTTACCACACGCCTGCAAGATTTGATAACGTGCCAACTTCAGGAATCAGGCAGCACCAATAAGCTTTATGCAGAGAGATTTCCCCATCCTGTGGCAGTGACATAAAGGTACCAAGTCCTAATAAAGTATTACTCAGTAAACACTAAAGCTGCAGTCAGGCACTAGTAAACTGGGTTCTTGTTTTACTGAGGGGCTCTGAGCTACAATCCAAAAAACTGTCAGGCAAACAGCTTTAAAAGTGGTTCATTGATGCTGTTAAATTTCACTGACTAAATGTCTCTAGCTGTAGCACATGATGACTCTGCATTGCATTTAATCTGATAAAATTTAATCAGAAAATGCTAAAGAAGCAAGAATGGTCCATTTTAGTAGCTGTTCACTGTGTCTTGATAAATACCTGCACTTTTTACCAAGTTCCTCAGCACTGTTCATGACTGCAGTTATTGGGACCTTCTTAGTTTTTCAGCTGGCAGTATCTCCTGCCTAACAGTCACTTACAAAAAGCTCACACCCTTGCCTGATAATCAGGACTGCAGCATTCTTGCCTTACCTCATACCATCAACACTAATCAAGTCTCTGAATGTATATTAGGGATTTAGCACATGGTGATAAACTGAAGGTAATGAAACCAAGTCATTGTGTTTCTTCCTTTACAGTTATTTGTATGAAATGCTTGTAGACTCTTGCAATAGTAAGCCTTACACAAACATACTTTTTAATTATTGAAATTAGAAATCTTTTTGAGGCAAAAGTCCTAATTGCTTTCTTTGTTACACTTTTCAAAATCTCAGCACATCCCAAGACAGCCTCCTTCATGTGGGCAAAGTTGGAAGTGAGCAGATGAAATAACTGCTGTAAGAGTGCAACTGCACCAGAAGAGGACAAGATGCTTCAGGAGATCAGCTGTTTCCCTCAGATTTTCACCTCTCCATGGTGCAGTTAAGGTCAGAGGGGAACACTTTTCAGTCCTGAAAAGTCATATGTGGACACACGCTATTATGAAGTCGCGGGCAACAGAAACACAATTATATTAAAACCCTAAATTGCTATAAACATCCAAAGAACATGGGCAGAAGTGATCAAACACAGGACATGTGCAGAGGCCACACCTTACCCAGATCAGTCTGGGCCAGCTCAATGCTCACACAGCAGCCAAATAGTCAATTTTAAGGAAAGATGTACACTTGCTCCTAAAAAAAGCTGGTCTTGCCACAAATCTTTAGTTGTGAACAAATAGAAAAGTTACTGAGAGTTTCAGCTGGCATTTGTATAGCCCCACAAAGATTTCTATGAAAACCAATATCTGAGAATAGTAACAAGATGTAAAACCTCTGTTTTAAGGAAGGATGATTTTTCCCAGAAATAACTCAGCTAAGAGCTAAATTAGACTATTTTCCATGGAAGCAATTGGTGAAATGTTGCCAAAGTGCTCCAGAGTGGACTAAGAACTACTGACAATACACCCATCCATTTTACAGATAAATTAGGGACAGAGACATCCAAAACATAATAATGTCACAGTCAAGGCAATATATCTGTCAGTATTAAAGGCCACGTAGCCTCACATAATGTTGTTCTAATAAGACTATAAATCATTGCATCTCAACCTTCTCTCTCCTTTGCTACATTTCTGTGGAGAAGTTTTGGTCCCTATGCCCCCAAGCAAACAAATGAAACATTTACTGTTGGAGTCATCAGAAATATGAAGTAATATATTTTTTTGTAATTTCCAGAAACTGGAACACTCACACAGTATTGCAGCAGAAACCTCCTCAGAATTAGGGGTGACTGTAACCAAGTTGGAAGCTCAAAGCAGAATGCTGATCCACTCCAAGTTTCTCCAAGCTGATGCTGGCTCCTTAAAAAAAAAAAAAAAAGGATAATTAAAATGAGGTTTTAAAAAGTTGAGACATAAGCAGGAAAGAATGGCATAGAGCACAGCAGAAATAAGTGTGCTTCTAAGCAACAACAACAGGTTCCTCCACACACACTCCCCACACTCCCTGCCAGAAGGAGACAGAGACAAAGACAATAAAGTTCTATAGAGACAAAAAAACAACAAGAACTTCAGTAAAGATTCTGATCTAAATAATTCCTGTATGCACAGTTTATAAGTTAATAGATCTATTTTTATACCTTTGAGAATAAGAAAGACAGATGGAAGATTTAAACGTTTTTACAAAACTGTAGCAGCAAACAGTTGTATTTTTCTCAATTGTGTTTACATTATCTATCATTTTTCTCTCTCCAGTTCATAGAGATTTTAAATATAGGGTTGAGTTAGTAGCTTCTAATTGCAGTTGTTTTGGATAATATTTCACGCAGTGATACATTACAGCGTAAGAGTTGTGTTTTCAGACTTCCAAGCCTTCAGTTTACATGAGAAATAGCCAAAATTCCATTGTTTTGTGTGTTTGGGTCCATTACAGTACAAAAATACCTGAATATGCAACCAAAAAAATAATGTGCATCTCTAATATATAGCTAAATGAAACTAGCAGTAACCCCACACTCAATGCCCACTCTCTAATTATGACTATTTGCCTGTTTGTTCTTGAAATCAAAGTTTTAGTCACAAACTGGAGGAGAGATTTTATTTTTCTCCATAGAACTTAAATCCATATAAGAAAGTTTTAATGCTTTTGTGCTGTGGCAACCCTAAAAATAAATAGTACATATTGTAACAGCTTGTAGTCTCATGACAGGAGACGGAACTCACCAGCAGATTCAAAACAGAGTCATTTGAAATACTTCTGCCTTGTTCCCAACCAACACTTGTTGTTTTCAAGTGATTGTTTGGGTTGTGATTCTTCAGGCTTCGAGAAGAGTGTCAGCCCTGTCAGCATCACCCACAATATCTTTGGGCTGGAGTCTGCCACCATCCACAGGGGGATCAAACTGGTACTCCTTGTGCTACCTCACCTTCATGTCCAGGTTTCTGATTTTCCCAAGGGCTTGAATTAAAATCGAGCCTTCTGTTTTCCCCTTGGGTGACAGAGAAGAGCATCGTCTCATTCCAAGTAACCTCAAGGCAAGAGAGTGAAATTTGTCCTTCCTATACCACGTGTGCTGTTAATGATTATCTAGAGAAGCACAATTGTTATTCCAGCAGATATCAAAAGACCACGACTATTTATACCATCCCAGAAAGCAGTTTCCTTAAAGATTGCTATCCTATCTACTTTTTGGTGAGCCAGACTTGCTTTCTTTAACCTCTTACCTTTACCAAGCAGACCTCAGCCCTTTCACCCATGGATCTGTGATCCTCTCCTTCCCAGCTCTTCACTAACTACTGAAGGACCCTAACATAAGTGATGCTTTTGAATCTGCACTGGACCAGAAACCAGACACAGCTTTGCTGCATTTTCTGCAAATGGGTGATTCCTTTGCCTCAGTTTCACTTCCATGAATTGCTGTCTCCTTCTCCACACTCACCTGCAGCCTCAGATTGGAGGAGCTTTCTACTGTCTTTGAACATCTTTATAACAATGCATTACCCAGGTTTATTCTCAGGTTATTTCACTATAACTTCACCAACACCTGCTAAAGGCACCTTACACCTATGAGGAATAAAAATATGGTTTTTATTACAAACAAATTTTAGAAAATTATAGGCACATCACGAAGTTTTAAGGTATTCAGTTCCCATCTGGGCTTGGTGCCATGGCCCCCTTGTGGCCAGGATAAAGCCCCCAAAAATGAAAGCCTTTTAGGCCATTTGGCCAACTTCAGACACAGGGGTTTTTTCTCTCCATGGGCTAAGAACAAAGGAAGATCCATCGTTTTTGACAAGGGATGCCTCGCAGCCAATCAGAAGGAGGGGAAAGCCCCTCTTCAGAGAAATGAAACCTTTTTAGGCAAAAATGAATATATTAAACTGACCTGAAAGGGTGGGATTTTTGAAAGGGTGGGATTTTGTAGAACTATAAAATGCATGAAATTTAAACCCAAGGAGTCTTTTCTCCCCCGGAGCTCGGTGTGAGATGAGACCCAGCACCTGCTGAATCAACCTTTCCTTGATGATACAAGTTCCTTTGTTTCACAGCTAATTGAATCTTTCTAAATTAAATAACGAGAAATTTCTCACACACCTACACAAGACCCCTTTGACCCTTGGCCATTCCCTCTATGTCCTCATGCCTTTTGTGAAACAAGGAGCAGAGTGATGCTGACACAAACAACCGACGGCACCGAGACACCAGCAGGCTGGGCTGGCCTGTAATTTGTATTCTTGCACTGTTACTCCAGGATGATTGCATAGCTATTTGCCATGCCATAAAAAGGTACAAGAGACCAAGCCCTGCCCTTCTTGGTCAGTCAGGACCCTGTAATTTGTGGTAGAAACAATCCTAGTATAGCAGGAGGGGTGTGATGGCCCCATGCTTTAGGTGTTTCGTGTGTGCCAATAAAACGGAGGGAATGAAAACCTAATCCTAAGGCAGGAAGGAGAAGGGCAGCTGGCAGAGCTGGGCTCTGGCAAATCTTCCAGCTCATTAATCCTGTGCTCTCAACTCTGCACTAAAGACATGTTTTCTCCACAGTTATTCTGCATTTAAATACGGCCTTGTCCGTGCCCTGCTCTGTACCACAGCACCAGGGACTGTTCAGTGTGACAGAGGCTGAGCTGCTCTAAGGGAAGTGCAGTTCTAAGACATTTAATTCAGCCAAACCATTAGCAAAATTCCTAGAAGTACTTACAGAGAGCTGTAAGATAAATACAAAAAGACTTTTCTTAAAGAACAGGTTTCATAACTAATTCAAGATGCTTTTTAAAGTAATAGAAAAAAAGTAATTAAATACATAAGACAAGTAATGAAGTAATAGAAATAAGTAATGAAGAGCAATCTAAATCTACCTAGAGATGATTCCTGTTTCAAATAACAGATTAATAACCTTCCAGTCATACATCCTTTTATTCATCCATGATTATAACTTTTTATTTTCTTCTTTCTTTACTATCCTATTTCTTCAAACCTTGAAAAATCAGTTGAAAGTGTTGGCAGCTGAAAATAAATACAGATTGCATAAAAGATCCACACCAAGCCATCAAATATATAGGACAAATAAACCTAAGCTAATGCAGTTAAACCAAAGCTAAAATCTGTCCAGAATTCTATCATTTTTAGTACTGTTCATCTTTCTTTATTATGTGCTTGCCCTAAGCAAATAAAAATAACATAGTTAGGTGTGTGACTCTACAAAGAAAATATAATAATGTTCATAAAATACATTGCTATCTTAACTGAGGAAGTTAATCAAGCAGAAGGGTGATTTATGAAGGAAATTAAAAGGCACCAAGAAAAGTTTGCTGGAAAAAGCAGCTTGTGAAAAGGCAGAAAAGAGTTTCATAAACTTCATTCTGTGTGTATCCAGAGATCACTGAAGTAGACTTTAATCAGAAAATTAAGTTACAAGCTTTGTCCCAGCTATCACCCTTACTAAACACACCTATAACATGACCAAAAGTGATCAGAGCTGATGAGAGAATATTCAGTATCTAATAAGTTCAGTATCTCATAACTGCTTCCTAATCATGTCATAATCAAGGCATTATCAGCACTAACACAGGGCAGAATCCAGAAAACAGAACTGGATTTTCCATTCCTTCATGGAAACTCAAAGTCACAAGCCAAGTATTTTTGCTGCATTATTTCTTATTACCATCATTAAGTATTTAAAGTCTGTTAGGGAAAAGAGTTGTCAATATGTCAGTACCATAAAGTACAGCAAGCAGTTTTGTTTCAGGCAGGAAGGGGAAGGAGAGAGAGAATGAATGAGAATGGTAAAACTTATTCCAGTGAGAACATAAACACAGCACAGAATGAAGGGTGGGTGATTCTGATCCACGTTGTAAGGAACAGAGACCCTTTAAGAGGTGAGACCACAGCTTGTAAAGTACCAGTATCAACTTATCAGCATTATATGTTTGTGGCCTAAATCAGAAACTAAACACTCCTGAAATGCTGCAGATCTAAGACAATACCTCAGCAGTAGCTGATAAGGTTCTATGAGAAATAAAATATGGGGTTTTTTATAGGTGTATCATGAAGTTGTAAGGTATCCAAGTTCCAAACTGGACTAAGTACCAGGGTCTTTTTTGGCCGTGATATAAAGTTCCTAAAAATTAAAATCTTTCTGGGCCATTTGGCAAGTTCTGAACATAGGGGTTTCTTTTTCTCTCTGGGCTAAGAACAAAAGGAATCCATCATTTTTGACAGAGGACGCCTCACAGCCAATTGGACGGAAGGGAAAGCCCCTTTTCGGAGAAAAAGAAACCTTTTTAGGCAAAAATGAATATATTAAACTTATCTGGAAAAGGGTGGGATTTTGTAAAACTATAAAATGCATGAGATTTAAACTCAAGGGGTCTTTCTCCCCAGAAACTCGTTGAGAGGAAGAGCCAGCGTGCTGAATAAATTCTTCCTTGTTGATACAGTTTCTTTGTTCCATGAGTTTATGCAGTCTTTCTAAATTTAAAAGAGGAATTTTTTTCCCACAGTTCCGAATGATTTTGAAAACAGTTCAACTTCTGCAAGTGTTCAACTGGACCTGAAGTTTGTTGCCTTTTTTTTCCAAAGAAGAAATAAGTAAAGAAGAAATCCTCACTCTGAACACACCACTCCTAATGTTCCCTGTGCTCCTTTTCAAAGCAAACTTTGTTTCCCCAGGCAGTTGATCTATCGGGTTTTGTAATCCTTAACTGCATTTTAAGCAGACAGACACTCTGTGATGTGCTCTCTGTGGTGAAACACAATGCACATCGTGACATGTTCTCACTCTATGTAAGAAATGCTGTTCTAATGTAAGCCACTGATCAGTGCCCCCGCAAACAGCAGGAACCTTTCTCT